GTGCGTGTGTGTGTGTGTGTGTCTGCACAGCGACATAATGATCGCTCATACTTAATTAAGGAAGGAGGGGGGAGCGCGGGGAAGGGAGGGAAGGGGAGCAAACTACATAATCCTTGGGGTTGGAGTTGGGGTTGGGGGTGGGGTTGGGGTTGGGGTTGGAGTCAAGGTTGGGATCGGTACTGATAGCTACGGACACTTTTTTTTGGGGTTTTGTTTTGTTTTCTTTTCTTTTCTTTTTTTCCCCCTTTTTTCTTCCTTTTTTTTCCCTCGTTTTTCTTTTTTTTTTCGTTTTTTTTTCGCTACTATGTAAGATGACACAAGGACTGAAAGTGTCCTTCGGGACATCCGTTGCAATTAGAATGATACAGAGAGAAAGAAGATTAGCATGGCCCCTGCGCAAGGATAACACGCATGAATCGACAAATGGTCCAATTTATTTATTTTTTTGTTAACTTAAAAATGGCACGACCGGGCCAGCAGAAAGACGAAGGGAACAGTCGTGCCAGTCCAGTCTACACACTTTTCCCCACCATTTCTCAAGATGACCTACCCTACCTCCTATCCCCTTTGTAAGGATCTCCACGTGGGTTGCACGAAAAACCTACATACGTCCTTCGGGACATCCGTTAAAATTGGAGCGATACAGAGAAGATTGCATGGCCCCTGCGCAAGGATGACACGCATAAATCGAGAAATGGTCCAAGAAATCAAACATGACGTCATCAATTCACGGCCATTATTTCAATTCACTAGTACCTCCCACCTCTCCCCCTCTCTTCTCTTTCAAGATCCAATTAGTAGTGACCACGATTTTTTTATTTTCGAGATCGATTATAAAAAGATGTTAAGTAATATAATGTCAGTAATTCAAAAAAAAAAAGGTCAACTTAGTCAATATATAATAATAAAAAGTCGTAGTGCAGGGGAATTTCAGTTTCTTTCTGAATTCGATTGTCATAATGCTCACACCAGTCGTAGAAATCTTTTTCTTTTTTTTCGTCTTCTTTTCTTTTTTCTTCTTTTTTTTGTTTTGCGGTAAATAGAATAGAATTACCTGCATGAGTACTGCCTGAAGCTGTCTGTCTTTGAGCAGGTCCTCTGTCGAAGGTTTCCCGCTCAACTCCGCTCCTTCTTTGGTCCCCCCCCCACTATCTGCTCCGCCCCCTCTTCCGTCCCCCCCCCCCTCTGATCCTACTTCTCTCCCCCCCCCTTCGTCTACCCCCCCTCCACCCCCCACAACGTTCTCCAATTTGCCTTCCGATTCCCTTCCCCACCATCCGGTGAATCTCCACCCACCTGCGTCCTCGGTGCTGCTCGACACGGAGCAGAGGGAGGAGCGACAAACTCTCCTGAGCTGCTGGGACACACGATACAGCGTGGAGGAAGCAATCCCCGCCGGGATTGCAGTCCTTCGTTTCCCCTCCTCCTCCGCCTCCACCTCCTCCTTCCTCGCTGGCCATTTCCTCGAAATTGCCGGTCCCGGTCCCGGTCCCGGTCCAGGTAACCCTACTCCGCCGGCGATGGCACCGAAGCATCGCCGATCGTTCAGCCTCGGTACCATGGCTGACAGCTCCAGCGGCATGGCGTCTCTCTCTCTCACACAACCCCCCACCTTTCTTCTTCCTCTTCCTCCCAACCCATAATAATGCATATCCAAAGACCTCCGGCTACTACTGCTATTACTGCTGTTGGTGCTAGCCATGCCGCTCAAACGGGAACTCTCGCTACGAGGTACAGTATTCTCCGCCGCCGCCGCCACACCCGATGGCAGCGCAAGAGCGGTGACTTGAGATTCCGCCGCCGCCGCCGCCGCCACACCCGATGGCGGCGCAAGAGCGATGACTTGAGATTGCGCCGCCGCCGCCGCCGCCACACCCGATGGCGGCGCAAGAGCGTTGACTCGAGATTGCGCAGCCGCCAAAGCATCATCCTCCAAGATGCGCCTTATGCCGATCGAGTCCCGCCATCCGGGCGACGGGAAATTGGCGGGAAATGCCCCTAACCTTTGGGCGGGAAAGGGGGTAATAATGTTCGAGGAAGAGAGCGTTCCCGCCGACGACGTTGTTGACCCACGTTCCCGCCAAATCGTACCATCATCATCTGAGATCCTGCTGCTGCCCTTGCCGCCCGAGGGCATAAGCGACTGCTTAAGAACAACAACGTCGTCGTAGATCCGGCTATGGCGGCAGACCGAGCTCCAGCGACGATGGCAGGGGGGTATGTTGTAGCCGCCGCGGAAGGTGTCAGGAAACGAAGTCCATCCTTGCCTCTCGGACTGGATGATGGTGGGGCCATGAAGCCGACGACCAAGTCCTGCAGGGGGACATACATGGCAAGCAGGGTCGTGCTCGGCTTGCTCGATCGCCATAGCCAACGCCCCCCCGCCTTGTCCATGGAAAGGACATGGGAGAAGAGAGGCACCCGCACGACAACGACGACCAAGATTGCTACCTGCTAATTGTGATTCCCCGGCAAGCGCCGCATTACTGATACAACTGCTACCGAGCGACCAACCCGTACGAGGTATGACCGATCCGAATTCTGAGAACCGGACACGTGGCAGAAGGTAAGAGATTGACATATGTAATCGTTGCTGGGTGACATTATGACTGGTCGGTAACCCACCACGCAGAAGCGACGGCCATCGGCCCCTCAAGACAGACGTGGCAGATCTCACCGGCGGCATATCGCCAGCATAGCGCTCTCTCTCTCTCTCTCTCTCTCTCTCTCTCTCTCTCTCTCTCTCTCTCTCTC